CTGGTAGATCTTGCAATTTATGTCAAGAAGAGAAACTAGACATCACAATTCATACTGATAGTAGTGAATTGCTTAACAAAAGATCGGAAATAATATCAAAATGTAGACGCTTGAGATGTTGGAGAATTAAAGCCAGAATAAGCTAGGCAGATTATAATATTTTTTCCTCATACTCTTTCTCCTAAGTAGTGACCGTTTATATATAGTTTGTCAACAGCCAATACGCTCGAGGTACTGCCTGATGATACCTATTATGCTTGAAACCACAGTTGCATCCTTTTAGCGCCTTAGTTTTTAAGGATATATATGTATACACACACAGTATATTTCAGCATATAAGGCAGACTGTGTCAAAAAATATGGCAAATTTTCATGAATTTATCCTATACCTGTAGTATAAGATGACTGCTTATTGATTATATAAAGATGATATTATTGGAAATGTTGTTACTCACTGTATCCTTAGAAATTCAAAATAAACAAAATAAAACCGATCATATTTTTCCCTAGACACGTCCCCTAAAATGCAAACACTTGAGAAAGTTTATGTTGGAGAATTATGAGCCAGGATGAGCTAGCCAGATTATAATAATTTTTTTTCTCATACTCTTTCTCTTCCTAAGTAGTGTCCGTTTATATTTTGGTTGTCAACAGCCAATACGCTGGAGTTAATGCTTGGTGATACCTATTATGGCTAAAACCACGGTTGCATCCTTTTAGCGTCTTAGTTTTATTAAAGATATATATATATATATATATATATATATATATATATATATATATATATATATATATCTTTTTCATAGAGTGTATAAAAAATACTTTTACAAACTTTGGGGACTGGTTCCTGACACCAAAACAAGGTAAAATATCCATATGAACATATGTCAAAAAGGCCAGCAACTCATAACAAATGTTCAAAATGTCCTCTGCTTCTTTCTACACACGCATGCACCTGTCGGATCATTGAGTAGTGGACCCTTTCAAATACTCCCATACGTTGTCGAATGGTTTCGTAGGCCCCCATGCCACGTTGGTGAAGAGTCTCTGCATTATTAGTGTCTGCTGCATAAACCAATCATTTTAGGTGGCCCCACATTAAAAATCTAAAGGTCGGAGGTCGGAGGAATGTGCAAGTCATGAAACCGGTCCTACCCTGCCTCTATATTTTTTATGGTAGAAGTCAGCCAGTGCATGCCGAACAATATGGCTAAAATGTGCTGGAGGCCCATCCTACATGAACCCCGTGCGTTTTCATATTAACAAAGGTAAGACGTACTGAGAGAACATATTGACCTACCAGACAGTCACTTACTTACTTACAAATTAATCGTAAATTGTTGTTGGAGTCTAGCCTGTATTGTATCATGGGGATTCCGATCCACGTACAAATATGAGTTGGGTAAATTTTGTTATTCCATCTTTTCCAAATGTTGCCTCATCCGTAAACAAGACTGAAGAGACAAACAACAGATCGGTAGTTTGTGCAAAAAAACAATCGGCAAATGTTCCCTCATGGTGATTGATTAGAGGACGAAAGACCCTACACACACTGCTCTTGAGGTACCCTGCACGCGGTACTATGAGATGTACGACATGCTAGGGTCATTTGACGTGTGCTGATAGCTGGATCGTCACCGACAGCCTGTGGAATGTGTTCTTCGTGGTCAGGCGTACGAATGAATCTCAATCTTCCTCGATACATAGTTTGTGATGCCATGGATCCAGTCTCAGCATCGCGACGATAAACAACAGCAAAGGTTGGATTATACGGCTGGCTTCGGTCTGGAAACGCAATCTGATACAGCCGTGCATCCCCTTGTCCATTACCATTCGCGCGGCCGTATTTAAAAATCAGATCTGCCTGCTCACAATATGAATATCCTGCCATTGACTTTTACACACGTTAAACGTTGTAAACAGACTAGACACAAATGTACACGAATGGCAAAGGTAACCTCGTCTATATAGCAAAACAGCGCCATCTACCGTAAACATTCTTTAAACTTAATAACTCCAAAACGAATGATTCGCAAACATGTCCTTGTTTTGGTGCGAGGAACCCGCCCTAAAGTTTGTAAAAGTATTTTTAATATACCCTGTATATATATATATATATATATATATATATATATATATATATATATATATGCTTATTTTCATTTTATCTTTATTTACATTTTATCGCAAGTCCCAAAATTCAAATCTAATATATGCGTGTGATATACCTACATACACACATGCATATGCGTGTTTGTGTGCGCGTGTATGTATGAGCTTATATTATGGTTTCAATGGTGCACGCATATAAATATGCAATTAAATTCACACACACACACACATATATATGTATAAGCATACACATATATATGCAAATCATAAAATGTAGTTACAGGTCGCAAACGCACACGCAAACACACACACAAACATAGATATGAAGTTATGAGACAAATAAATTACATGGAAGCAATAAAAGTCACGTTCAGAATTAATGGAAAATAATTGTTATCTATCTTCCACTGGCGCTTATGCACGCATGCGCACTGGCTGCTTGGCGATCCGAGTTGACTCGTGGGAAATATGAATCAACACACGAAAAAAATAAAAAACGAAACAAAACAAAGCTATCATGCTAGAAGCAGAGGAATGAAGAAAGTGTAGGTAAATCCAGCATTAAACTAACGACAGAAAAAAAAAGGTAAAATAAAGAAATCAAGCTTAATTTTCCAAAAATCATTTGATATGTTCTTACATCAATCAGGGCCTATTATCGCCATGTATATTTTCAAATATTGACATTTTGCCGCTATTGTGTGCGACGCTTCGGGCGATCAGCGTCACACATGACTGCTTTAAGTGTCGTCTGCAAAAGATTCGGCGCACACGTCAAGCCAGGATGTGTTTGTTGAAATGCAGTTAACCTCTCGCTCTTAAATAAAGAGAAATTCAAAATCAGGCCTGCAGCTTTAAGTTTAGTACTGTCATAATTTTATCTAACTATTGTTTGTGCAGTCATTCTCGTGCACTACGGAGTTTTATTTCAGTCCTTGTTGGGCTGAAATGATTTCGCTGCGATAAGTACAGTTGTATGTTGCGGCTGGGAATCAGTTTTCATGAGTCGGGATGGGTAGAGAAAGGGTGGTGAAACGTTTATAATAGGGTGTGATGAAAAACAAACAGGGAAGGGTATGAACGAAAAAATACCTTACTGGTTGATGCTTATTGTAATACCAATGTTCACCCAGTACAAGGTCCAAGAGCCACTCAAGATAGAGGGTTACCTCGTGGCGTTGTATGAGCGTAACGAAAGGAAAGAAGCGAGGTTTGCGACGTTTCGTCTGGGGGAAAGAGGTAGAAAATAATTCATCACCTACAAGGTCGCGTAGACGCTTTTAAATTTGATAAAAAGAAAGCGAAGCCCAAGAGCCACCAAAGGTAGAGTGCTACTTTGTGGTGTTGTATGATTATAAGAAAAAGAAAGAAGTGAAGACATGAAGAGGTCGAGATTGTAGTGATCAGGAAAACGTCCTGCCGAGAGTCTGTTCCACAAAGCAGCAGTTCTTCGGAAAATGCTCTCCGTATGGAACTTACTTCTTACTATAGGAATACGAAGGGAATAGGGATGATTCAAGCTTGTGTACGTGGCATGGCGAGCCCCAACTGTAAAGATCAAGTATGATGGGACTATCTTGTTAGAACACATGCCATGGAAATAGAGACAGAGCATCGAGAGGCTCGCAACGCTTCGTCTGTGGAAAAAAGACTTGTAGGGTGGAAGATAATCCATCACTATGAGGCCGCAAAGATGCTTTAAAACTTGATAAAGAGAGAAAAATGGGGACTTGGTAACTCTAGCCCAAATATGGCAGCAATACACCATTTTATGACAGCTTTGAAAAGGGAATTTCATAAATTCAATAAAGTAATAATGGTGGCGACAATGCAGTCATAATGATCAATACTGTAATTACGCAAACATGAAATAACGGTTAACAAGCAGATATTGCCCATTATTAATATTGAACAATTCTGACAGTTAAACACGTGTTACAGGGGTGACTTCTTGCTAATATCAGCCAAGGGAGACAATCCCAACACCTGATAACTTTAGGAAGTGCCTGAAAAACTCATCACGGTGTTGATCCAAACCTTGGGAGCAAAATTGCGTAGACGCAGACATAGATAGTCACCTTGCTTGAATAATTATGATTGCAATTAGGCATTTGGAATTGAATCGCGTGGCAGCATTAAATGGACCTATAAGGAGTTGATATGCCGTTAAACGGGTATAACCAAACAAAAATAGTGATCGATCCTATCTGGGGGTTTTAAGGTTGTTGTAGGATAGTCGTGTTATCCTATATATAATTATACTACACCAAGAAAATAACAAATTAAAACTACAGATCCTCGAAGCCATCTACAGTTAAAAAAAATGAAGCTGACACTGAATAGAATCAGCTACGAATACTGTCATAATGTTCTAAAATGCCTATAAAAAGTACGGTTTTCACGGTTTAAGTCGCACTTGGCCATGACATTTTTTCTTTGAAATTTTTTGAATCTATCACAGGTTTTCCTTAAATATGTTCTTTAAATATTTTGGGAAAATACTTTCAAATCTTAAGAAAAAATTTCCCATATATATATATATATATATATATATATATATATATAATTATTTATTTAAAAATATGATTCCAACACGCTACATTTATTATTTACCTAACGAGTTCTTTCCTATTTTCTATATATTTTTCACACACATACACACACACACACACACACACATATATATATATATATATATATATATATATATATATATATATATATATATATATATATATATATATATATATATATATATATATATATATATATATATATATATATTCAATGACACACAAAAAACTATAGAATAAAAAAAAAACACTTGAATAAAAAACAGTCCCAAGTTGCAATTTATACCGTCACTTTTCTATTCTTGGAATGTGTTTTACAGCCATATCACTTTGAAACATCAGTTCTCGTACGATCACCAAAGTTAAGCAACACCGAACTTAGTCAGTACCTAAATGGGTGACCTCTTGGGGATACCAGGCGCTGTAAGCTTGGAAGTGCGGGTTGGATAATGGCTCGGAAATTTTAATCGGAGAGCCGAGTTCCAATTCTCGCTGAGTACGTTATTTTCTCTTACGCGCAAATACCCTTAGGAAATATATGAATCCACCTCTTCTTCCCCCAGCTATGGTTCAATTAGTAAGAGATGTATCACTAAAACTCTTATCATCTAAAAAAATTTGCAATCTAAAAATATTTTCTGTCTTTAAATAATCTGAAAAGGGTTGATAAGCTGTCAAAAATGAATGAATCACTCGAATAATTTGCGTGTTACTTTTTGTTGTATTTGTATTAAATCCATAGTGATTTTTGAAACGAACTTTAGATGTGGCACAGGGCCGAAAGAATGGAGAACTCAGTGAGAATCGAACTCACTACTCAGTCGTAATTGTTCTAGGGTGACAAGCTTGTTAGCCATTGCAACACAACGAGGTGCCCTTGTCAATAAATTTATGCGTAGGCAAACAGTATTTTATTTCTTCTTATACATGGTATATCCTTAGTGTTTACTATATTCAACATTAGTTTTAGCTTACTGTTAACCCTTTGAACCCTGACCACCGCTTTACCGGTGGTAGAGAAAAATGACGTAATGCCCAACCACCGCTTTACCGGTGGTAGAGAAAAATGACGTAATGCTCAACCACCGGTTGAACAGTGGTAGAGAAAAAAGACCGGTTGCATGGTTCGTAAACACTTGTAACTATTTTTTTATCTGCACTTTGACATTATATATCATTTATTTTCGAATTTTGACTCAGGAGCTCAGGGTTAAAATTGTTCAGGAACGCAAGTGTTAAGTCTCGAATAGAAAGGTAGGCTAGAATAAAAGGGTAGATTGGAAAATTCATTCAAAATTAATTTGTTTTCGAAAATAATAGAATAATATGGTTGGAAGAAACGGGCATGTTAGAAAAAAATAAACGGGTAGTCAAGAACAACATACGGTAGATTGGTAAATTTCGATAACCAGGCAGGCCCATCTATTCTCTAGCAAGGTCTAGATATTTATTCAACATTTTACTTTTACTATATGTTTTAAATTTCAGTATTAAATTTAACTCTAATATAATTATTTAAATTAGGTAACCAGTTATTTTTAACTTAATACATTTAAAAAGCTAAATTTCAATATTAAAAACATTATTTTTGACCGTATGCAGGAAAATCGCCGGAAAAAAAATTGCCGAAAGGAAACTCGCCATAAGAATTTTCGCCGTAGGAAAACTTCGCCGTATAGGATTTTTACCGAATGACAATTTCGCCGCATTTTTTTCGATACCCTTATCTTGACCGTTCCTTTTGGAGTAATGCTCAATTTAATATGCAAAGCAGCTTGTTATCAAGTATATATGTATGTCTTTTTACAGGATCAAACATCAGAAAAGAAATTAAAAATTAACATTTATTTAAAAAACTAAAAGACTAAAAATATGTCAAATTAACAAAGAAATAATTTAAAATGTGTGCAAATTCCAAGCAATGCTTCGTAAATAATGTTTTTTTTGCGTTGTCTGTAATTTAGCATTGTCCGTTGAAGTCTTGCATTGATATCAATATATATTTTCTTCATTTGTACTGTATATTTTCTTCATTTGTACTCGATCTAAATCAAACTTTTTCTTTTTTGCTAATGTCTCTTCCTTTTTCAAATACGCAATTAGTTTCCACAAATTTGTGTGGATCCTATAACTTCGCTTATTAAAATGTTTAAATCGAAGTAACAATAGTGTAAGCCAGATATACGTGATAAAAAGTAAATTCATATATTAAAAATTTGCGGTGAAATCGTCTTGCGGCAAAAATCCTATACTGCAAAATTTTCTACGGAGAAAATTCTTGAGGTGAGTTTTCCTACGGCAAAAATGTTTACTGTGAATGTTCCTAGAACCATTTTTGACGCATTATTTTTTATAATTAATATTATTCATTATTATTATTATAATTATTATTTATTATTATTATTTTATTTATCTGGTAAATTGATTTTAAATAGATATTCAAAATTGACATCTTGATGTTTAAAGTATTACGCAGAAGGTTTTGAGAAAACAATTTATGAAAGTCTAAGATCTTAAAAGCGGACCTGTCAAAATGAATATTTCTAAGACTGGCAGACATTTTAAAAAATTAACGAATAAATAAATAAATAAATAAATAGCAATCATAAAACAAAAAAGAACAAAGAATAAATTAGATTTTCCTGGTCTCGTCTGGACTTGTTTTCTCTCCCCGTGGGACTTGTCGCCGGAATAATAATGGCACAACACTGGCAACATTGAAACACTAATCATTTTTTTCTCCATCCCGTACTCATCCAATCAAAAGCTCCAGTTTCTCTCAAGCCAGAGAAAATTGAGCGACTTCCGGTTGTAATCTAATGAAAGACGAAACAACAGGGAGATATTGTATGCATCTCGGTCAGGTGACTCGTGTCTTTGATCGAAATTCTGGGGGTGCAGATTAAAGCTTTAGGTATTGAAACCATTGTTGAACGCTTGGATAAAGAGAGAATTATTTTCTCGACTTCGTGACATCGGAACAAGCGAGAAAAAAATAACGACTTTGTATACGTCGGCCATTTTGTAATTTTGTGATATGAGTAATAAAAAAGTCGCAGTGAATCAGTTATGTATTAAGGAAATAAATTCAATAACGAAATCGAGGTTTACATGTAGTGCCGGATTTACCTTGATTTTAAGGTCCTATGCGTCAGTCTTCTATGTTTGGTAGATTGAAGCCTAGAATACCATAATATAGAGGGCGCCTCTTCCAAGTTGTATAGTATTTTTAATACTACCATAGGTTTTCCTAAAATATTTTGACAAAAAAATTTCAGATCTTAAGAATAGAAATTTCACCTATATATATATATATATATATATATATATATATATATATATTCAATGACACACAAAACTATTGAATAAAAAATCACTTGAATAAAAAACAGTCCAAAGTTGCAATTTATACTGTTACTTTTTCTGTTCTTGGAATGTGTCTAAATAATTTTCGAGCTTACGGTCATATCACGGTGAAACACCGGTTCTCGTACGATCACCGGAATATGGAACGTAGAACTAAAACAGTCTACCCCAGTGAGCGAAATAAAGCGTTAAGTTCGACATTCCAATCACCTGAAGAAGGCCGGAGCGTACAACTGCCGAAACATTGTAATAAATATGGCGACAAAGATGAGGACAATAGTCCGAATAATATAAATAATGTACATAATACCTCATTTCAGAAATACAGACAGATACTAAAGAGATCAATTAGTAAAGATCCAACTCAATCCATAAGACGTTTGGCATGTGAGAGAGGAGTTACACCTATGAAAGTGCAAAGAGCTGTGTAAAAAGACTTGAAAATGAAATCGTGCATGAAACGTGTGTTACTCCAAGACAGGAAATTAGAAGGTTAGAGAGGGGGAAGATCATCTTCAATAAGTTGGAAAATGATCCTGAAATAATATATATAGATATTTGAGCTTTATTTCAATCCTTCCGATCGTTAGTTTTGATTGATTAATGATGAACATGTCATTTTCGTTTATGATCGATTTCATCACGATTCTTCTAAGCTTGGAGAGTAATTATACATTCTTATTGATCAAAGTAGAGTTCAATCTATCTATCTATCTATCTATCTATCTATCTATCTATCTATCTATCTATCTCCTTCTGCTCATCTATCTATCTATCTATCTATCTATCTATCTATCTATCTATCTATCTATCTATCTATCTCAGTCTGTTCATGATCTATCTATCTATCTATCTATCTATCTATCTATCTATCTATCTATCTCCTTCTGCTCATCTATCTATCTATCTATCTATCTATCTATCTATCTATCTATCTCCTTCTGCTTATCTATCTATCTATCTATCTATCTATCTATCTATCTCCTTCTTCTCATCTATCTATCTATCTATCTATCTATCTATCTATCTATCTCAGTCTGTTCATGATCTATCTATCTATCTATCTATCTATCTATCTATCTATCTATCTATCTATCTATCTATCTATCTCAGTCTGTTCATGATCTATCTATCTATCTATCTATCTATCTATCTATCTATCTATCTATCAGTTTGATGCTATCTATCTATCTATCTATCTATCTATCTATCTATCTATCTATCTAAGGTTGTAACTTCTGTCTTTCTGTCTGTTATCGAACTGCTAGGGTTTTGCAGATAGATCCCCATAATCTTATTTATTCTGAAACTACATGAACCAAGCTACTTGGATAAGTATATTTCATTTTGTTCAAAGGGCTTTCCCCTCACTGAATTGTTTTCCCTTTGATATAAATTAAATTTTAATTTTAACAAGGGAATGACTCTTATTCAAAATATAGGAGAAAGCCAGAAAATGGAGGTCACATTGGGAAGATCAAAATGAGAAAATATGAACGTCAAGTTGAGCAAGAAATCATCAATCAGTGGATAGTACCTTACAATACACATTTTAGGGACAATTCAACTGTCATATCAATGTTGAAATCTACTCATCGATTCATTCAATCAAGTATTGCATCAAATATATATCAAAGGGGTCAGATCAAGCACACACCCCACTAAAAATTCGTTTACCTTTGGTTTAAATTAAATTCAAATTTGAACAAGGGAAGGACTCCTATTCAAATATAGAAGGAGAAATCCAGAAGATGGAGGTCACATCGGAAAGATTATTGAGTAATACTGAAATGCAGAATTTTTTTCCACAAATTATAACAATGATTTAAAATCAATCATCATTTTCTTAAAAAATGTGTGACACGCGGCAAAGCTAGTAGTGTTACAAAAACCCCGGAGAATTTCAGTAAGATATCTTTAATCATTTCTAAGATACAACAGTTTAAAGCTTAATCTAACAATTGGACAATCTTGGTGTTTCATGAGTTGGACAATTTTGGTGTTACACGCGGTATATATATATATATATATATATATATATATATATATATATATATATGAA